TCTTCAAATTCGAACCAATTATAAGTCAATGTGTTCTAATATGCGACATGCAACAGCAACGCTCTGAAGACATTTTTCTTTTTGCCACCCTTTCCTTATGCTTAACGGATTGCAAGAAAATAAGAAGTCGACGAGTGATCGGTCAATCTATGAAAATTATGAATAAAAGAAATAAAATAGAGACTATTATAAAAATGTGAAACGAATTTAACCCAACACATGAATGGAAAGACGTTAGTCACATAATTTGCAAAACAAAGTGACACGGATTTCCTTCCTAACTCTTACCTACCCATCCTTCGCAAATTTCCCTCCTTTTAGACTCTTTTTAGATCCCCCTCCTTTTCTCCCCTCTTCCATATTCCTTACTTCCCTTCCCCCTATTCCTCTAATAGATCGGCCCCTAGTCCTTCTACCAAAATCTTTGCTCATTTCAATTTCATCATTCATTCATCTGATATATATCCGAATGGACATATCAAAGTTTCATTCTATCCTTAAGGACTTCAACTTTCTAATGGGACACCAAAACATTTTATCAAACTTTATAATCTTTGGACCTTCTTATATTCAACTGATATTATGATCAAAGGTAAATGTTGCTCTGTTTTTCTTGCAAATTATGTGACTAACGTCTTTCCATTCGTGTGTTGGGTTAAATTCGTTTCACATTTTTATAATAGTCTCTATTTTATTTCTTTTATTCATAATTTTCATAGATTGACCGATCACTCGTCGACTTCTTATTTTCTTGCAATCCGTTAAGCATAAGGAAAGGGTGGCAAAAAGAAAAATGTCTTCAGAGCGTTGCTGTTGCATGTCGCATATTAGAACACATTGACTTATAATTGGTTCAAATTTTGAAGACACATTTACTTCTACATTTTATTATATCATGGACACTCAAGTAAGATCTTCTAACCTGCATTTATTATACTATGACTTTGCGTTTGCGATACTAATTCATTATTATTTTAATTTACTTTGTATATTTTATTTTACAACGAACTTTTAAAATTTTTTCAACCGATATGCGTTAGCCTTGCGGAACTATACTTGTTTTATTATTGCATTGTTTCTTCTGTTAACGTTTGTTTACTTATTTTGATATTATCACTGAAGATGGCCGAAATAAATGTGCCGAAACGTTTGAATTGACAATTTAGTTACTTATTATTTTTTGAGCATCTAACACCCGGCTCTGGGTCAATATAGCCAATTTATTTTTTAATAATTTTTTATTATGATGGCCCATGTTTGACTTTTCTTTTATAATTTATTATTTATTATAATATTTAATAACTCTTCTTTGTCATTACTGTCACTCGAAGAGGCACTAGTAGACGATTCGAAAATAATATTATCAAGTAAAATATATTCTTGAATAATTACTTACTTTTTATTTTATTAGCCTAATTAACCAAAAAATTTAAAAAAATCAATTAAACATATAATTTTTTTACTTAAAAATTATCTTTCGGATTACTTAAAATCATTTCAGCTGTTTTACTGGCTTTACTGCTGGGAGAAACACTAATCTTGAGCCAATGACAGCTCAGAACGACTAGACGCGTAGACGCGCGCATATTGCACTTTAAGTGCTAATCTAAGTGTTAAGCTAGCCTCAACCTTACAATTATAAGAGAAATGGAACAAAATCTTCACTGAGACAATAAACAAATAAATTAACAAACTGCTGAGAGTTTATCAAGCGGTGATAAAAAGTAAATATCACATAGTTTTAAATTATTTTCTATTATTAAACTATATGTATATGATTAAGAATAAATACTTTTAATACTATGATTTTATTGTATTAGTTATTCATAGCAATTGTAATAAGAAAATAGAAAGTAAGCCAATACTTTTGAGCAGTAGTGTACATTGCATAGGAATTTTGTTCGTTTTACTTGCATTTCTTACAGTTCAGATGAAATAGGTACATATTTTTGAAGAAAGAGCAAAGAAAATAAGTGCTGAAAATGCATTCAAAACGAACAGAGTCACGAACTTTATTCATATGCATTTCTTGCACTTAAGATGAAATAAATACAAAATTAGTCTTTGGAGGAAGAAAGAGCAAAGAAAATAAGTGCAGAAAGTACATGTAAAGTGAACAGAACTATGGGAAGGCTTCTTGCTAGTAGCCGTCTATAGCATCGTTTTCGATACATATATCTAGATATGTCAATACAAGTCGTAATTATTAACAACTAAATAACACTTGTTAATTACGATTATAATTTTGAATAAACACTAAATTTTGTATGTAGAAGATAAAATCTTATGTAAAATACTTACGTGTTTACTTAATTTTTTAAGGTTAGAATTTTCTGCAGCTATTTTTTTAGTAAATCATGTTATGAGGCATCGGAAGCTGATGTATTGTCATGATTTATAAATATTGTGAATGTTTCTTGCAATAACTTTAAAACTATTAAAAAAAGAAAATGTTTGATTATAGATATTAGATATATTTTATAAATATAAAAAAATTATATTTTAAAGAGAAATTTAAAATCATAATAATGAATTTATATCAATATTTCACTCGTATTCGTATAAGAAATTGTGCAGTCTATGCACAAGTTTTGTCAAGATTCTACAAAAGCGATACAAAAACTATGCAATATCCTACAGCAGGAATAATCGGTCAGAATGATAACGCTGTATCATGTATATTATATAAATATCTAGCAACTGCTTAATTTAATATAATATAAATTTCCAGTTATTGGAGATGAAATATTGAAAGCACAAGTGAAAGATACAAATTCCTATTACATGTGTAATTTATTATATAACTGTGGTATTAAAGTTAAGAAGGTAAGTTAATTTTTTTCTGGCAACAATTATATTATCTGACAAGTATTTCATAAATCTTTTATTATATAGGACTATTTATTTTTATAATAATATTGACTTGATTGATTTACAGATCTCTGTCATAAGTGACGATGTTGAAGAAATTTCGAAAGAAATTAGAGATGCTTCTAATAAATACACATATGTTATAACATCTGGTGGAGTTGGACCAACACATGATGATGTTACATACGAAGGTAAATATTGTTTCTAATAAAAAAATTATAATTATATTGTATTTTAATTTATCATAATCTGTAGGTCTCGCCAAAGCTTTCAATGATACACTATATTATCACCCCAAACTGGTGAATATAATAAAACATCACTTTGGAGATGACAATGCTTCTTCTCCTGCTTATAAAATGGCTAAGATTCCTCAGAAAGCATCTTTAAATTTTGGTTTAAATCCAGCTAAACCAAACACTTATCCATATATTGTACTAGAAAATGTATATGTCTTTCCTGGTTCACCTGTATTTTTTCAGAAATCTTTCCAAAGTTTATATAAGGTAAATATCTTAATGAAGTGAGAGATAAATTGTTGTTGGTAATTTTTTTCATCATTAATTCGTACTCTTATATTTTATTGCAGGAGTTACTCTCCACAAATAGAAGATTTGTGAAAGAAGAGGTGTTTATTAATGCTAGGGAAGAATCATTTGCAAATGCTTTATCAACTGTAGTAAAGGAATTTCCCAATGTTTCCTTTGGTTCCTATCCAGTAAGCAATAGCAGGTAATGCAGAGAGGAAAAGTATGTTGTAAATAAGGCAAATTTTTAATTTTAAATTTTATTTTTATTATTCTATTAAATACACACTAAAGTTCAAATAGAAATATGGAAATAAGTAGCAATTATGATTTCTATTGTGGGTTTAAGCCTACATATTTCTGACCATGTTTTTATTTGTTTTATTTTTTTGAAAATTGAACAAAAAATAAACATGATATACATATATGCATAGGTATTTTAAAGCATTCGTAACTATAGAGAGTGATAACGAGAACAATACCGAAAGAGCAAAACGGCGATTTTATGAGCTAAATCCTGTAAATATTTTTGTCAATTTTGATCGGACGCCGCATGTAGACTGTGTCACAAAATACAATAAATTTCTTCAAAATTGTTCACGTCGATCGACTTACGAGCAGACGCTCGAAAAGCTTAGGTAAAAAAAATAATGCATTCTAGATTTAACAATATTATATTGAGTATTGTCTCTCTAAACTACATTCCACTTAGACAGGTATATCGGAATTCCGAACATGTTTCGATACGTATCGACGGTAGCATAGAATCGAGCATCGTTATTCATCTCGCGTACATATGTAAAACTCAATTGCATTCAAATAATAAGTTGCAAGTGGTTCATTTCAAGGAAAAACAGATGTCGATTAACATAGAAGAATTCGTCAAAGAAATGATTGACAAGTAATGCAGAAAGCAATCTATTGCTCAAATTATAATCCATGAAATCTAATATCATACAATGGCTATGTAGTATTTGTGATGAAAATTGGATTGTGTATTTGTTAGATATAATTTAGCAGCGTGTACCGTGGAATCCGCGCCTGACAAAAGGATAGACGAATTAATATCCATGCGACCACACTTACAAACATTGCTAGTCGGAGAAGCTGGCGAAAATGTAGTTGATTATAACAGTAACGCGAACCAATTGCAAATCAATAATCCTTTGCGTAACTGGACGAAGGAAGACGTGTGGATTTTCGCCTCATCGTTGTGTCTACCATACAATTTGACTACTTGAAAACAAAAACGGTAAGAAGAAATTACATTCTGAATGCAATTTAATATACGCGAGCGATATAGTTTACTTTTAATTGTTATTCTCCGAGTTATAGATGTGCTATGAAGCGTGAACGTTGCATACAATCAAGGAACGTTGCAGTAGCAACACAGTAATAAAACGTATGGAACAGAGCTCGTAATCGATATTTAGCAACGCGCACAATGCGAAAGGATCGTGTCGATCGTGCATTGCTAATGCTGCGTCGTGTCACGAAACCTCTCCTCCCGCGATACTAGATTCCAAAAATCTGACAATATTCCCCAGCCGGCCGGATATCGTTTTAATATTCGTAAGGGCGACGCACGCGTGTGCACAAAAGCAACTTAGTATTGTCTACGCGCGCTTTCAATATGTCCGCTCAGCCATCCGAGTAGCGAAACTGGAATGTACATAGAAAAGAGAAGAGGCACCAAAGAGGGATGGGGAGAACCGTGGGGCGAGACCGAGGCACCTCGCGAGGGTGGAAGGGGCTGGACTACAAGCTCGTATTACACATTTTTCAGCCGAGGAAAAGCCGGCTGGCTGGAGAGAGAAATATCCCGCCGTCTCCTTCTACTCCTTCACCATACCCGTTCCATTCTTTTGAAATTTCATTCCGAGTTAAAGTATTCCCACTTTTATCCCTCGGAACTTTAAAATGAGAACGAGTCGCGATGCCGACGTGCCTTACTGATGGTGCTCTCACGCTATCTCGCAAGTCGTCTATTCGTCCTTTTATTCAAGCCTATACGCCTGTCGTTACGAAAGTCATGCAACAAAAGTGAAAAAAAAAAAGATTATTAATTTTTCGCGGGATATATCGTGTGTTGGAACGATACAAGCGATAGAATACGCGTCGATGTGCGTGCTCGCGCATACGCATGGACGCCGGCGGTGCACGTTCAGGATGAGAACAGAACAGAACAGAACAGAACAGAACAGAACGGAACGGAACGGAAAGGCCGGTACTAGAGATGGAACGAAACGAAACGAAACGAAACGAACGTATATTTCCAGAACAAATATTTACGCGAAAGAGGTATAAAAAGAGCGAAAATGTGTTTTCTGTTTGATTTGCGACTGTATTTTTCTTTCCGGTCCAACGGTCCTCTCCTCTGCCTCCCTCGCCCTCGTCGCCGTCACTCAGGCAACCACCCAACCACTCACTTACTCTCTCGACTAGCTCTCCCCCTCTTCCGCGCGCGCGTTTCCTCTCGCGGATTCTCCGCGCCCGCGCCCGTGGGCGGACAGAAGAGTGAAGGGGAGGGACAATCCTGCGGGCATAGGTTACAGACGTATATATACGCCGAATTGATGTTTCGCGAGTTTTGAGCGACGAAACGAGATAAAGTTTGGAAAGAGTTATAGCTAGAATTGACGCTTCTTTTTTTTTTTTATCATCATCAGTCCTTATATTCATTTCTGAGCGAGATGACACTCTCTAGTAGGATCTGCAGTTTAATATCGGCTCCGAACAGCTATAGTCGAGAGGTTCTCTCTAGGCAAGATACTATTCGCTGGTTTGTGCCTTGCGGAAGGAAGCGATCATAGATTTTTATTTTTCTGCGACGGCAAACTTGCCATCACTGACGTCTAATCAACACGCCGCGATTGCTTCAGAGCAATCTTTTTTTTGACACACCAGATAAATGCGGAAGCAATTTCACTTTTTGCATCAATTCGTCATTCTCGGAACTCGGAGGTTTTCACTTCGCACCTACTTTTGTTCCGGTATCTCGCACCGATCGGGATAATGCACGTCTCTCGCTGCTTTCGCCGCTATGAGCCTCCTCGTGCGCTACGATACTCGCTATTGTACGTCGCGCGACCGAGCTTTTCAACTAGGCCCCCCAGCAAAAGTCCGCGTCTAATCCAATAGTAATCTCTCCGCTATCTTGGCAATTCGCAAACTTTGCTAATTATTCTCCCACCGCCTGTCCCCGCCCCCTCGCGCATCGGGCAAGTTTCATGGTAGCTCTCGAGACGCCTCGTGCATCCCGAAGATAATGCGCGGGAGCGAATGAAGGAAAGGAATTTCCGCAGGCACCCAAATATCTTGGCGCTATTTACGATACTTCCGATATTCCGGACGCGGAGATTTTTCTTGGAATACCATCGGCGCTGATCACAAACTGATCCCGGTGAATAAGCTCGCCGCGCGATATGGAGAACGCGGATACGCTTACACGTACTTGGGAAGTTTAGATTTCATAAATTCCGTGATACGCGCGTGTATTGGCTATCTATCAAAAGTTTATCTGGTCGTACGTCTCACGGCGTATATATGCCGTGGTGAAAAATGTGGAACATCCGGCTGTATACAATGACAGATCGCCAGGCGGGAAGAAAATTACGAGTTCCTTTCCTATAGATTTCCGTATTTTATATCGCTCGCGAATCGCGTTATACATCGAGCCAATTACATCGACGACTGTCTTTCTGAAAGATTCATGCCTAGAACAGAACGCCATTCGAACGTGTTGCGTAATTTATAAGCGATTCACGTATGCATAGATACTTTGACGCTCGGTAATGATATTCTATTTTCAGATTGCTAAGGTTTGGATTCAGCATCATGTCCGCAATTGCAGTCAGTGATTTGTGAAGTCATGTAAAATTCAGCAGCGACGGTGTCGTTTTGAAATAAAATTGAAATGTGAAATGGAAATAAAAGTATTTAACGAAATACGAGGTATATTTTAATGAATCAGCACGATGTTTTTTTTAAGTTTCAATAAAAATCCAAGCTTTTATTTGCATCGCTCCATCTACTCGAATCGACCTAAATTTTCTGTGAAACATAGAGCATATATTAATGCGCAACGTTATGCAATATTTTATTTTTCCTTTCCGTTAAAAAATTAAAACCATCAGCTTTAAGTCGTATACATATCAATCTCGGAAATTTTCATCTTGGACGATGATACGTCACGATTAGAAGTTGATGAATGAGAATCGTGATCGAGTGTGATTAATCGTCGCGCCGTAAAAATCGTCGTGAATCACTGTCGATAATTGCGGCTCGGGCGATTCGTGTCGCGCGCTGTGTTCGACAACAGTCCAAGATACGAAGAAGATACCGCGACACGCAAAGGAAATTCGCGCGGACGCAAGCACTCTCGGCGGAACGGCTGGTAAGGAGCGAATGAGTCGAGGGTTCAGTCAAGTAGTTGCGGTGGTCCGAGCGCGGTTTAGTCAAGTCGAAAGGTTGGCAGGCTGCCGCGTGCCACGCTGTTATCGATTCCTTCTTGCCACTCTCATCCCCCTCTTCCCACCTGCCTATCTTCCTACTCGCCTTCCTTTCCTTCTTCACTTAGACACGCGTTATTGCTACTCGTCTCCGTGTAATCCAATCGTTCCCCTGCGCACGTTCGATGCTCTATGACTTCTCGTTCATTGATCATCAATAACGTTGCGATAGGTCGGTGATGTGACTTATTATTATTTAAACAAGAAATCTTACTTTTTTCAATTCTCATTTTTTTTCTATTAATTCGATCATCGACGATGACAGTCCATTGACAAGCGTGCACTTGATTGATTATCCTTATTGACTATGTATTGTGTCATCTATCCGCAAACAAAGAGAGTAGCAAAAAGAGTCACGTAGAATCATACAGTCAGTCATGATGCAAATATTAAAATCGGAACGATTTCGCGTAGCGAGAGGTGTCTCACGTCGATATCGCTCGTCGCCACGCGACATTGATCGTCCAGAAATTTCCACCCAAATTTTCAATCCAATCCGTCTGTCGAAAATTATGACAACAAGGACGCATGAAAAGTAGCAATCGCCGTCCAAGAGCGCGGATAGTAAGGACTTCGGGATGTCCGTCCGGGGAAAGACACGGCGTGTCGTTGAAGAAGCGAGAGGGAGAGACATTGAGGGGAGCAAAGGATCCGGGTCAGGGGTGGTGGCCGCGAGTTGGCGGCGGTGGCGGCGGCGGCGGCGAGACGAAGCGAGAGCGAGGTACGACGACGACGGTGGCGACGACGGTCGCGTGCTGGTCGCGTGCCGGAGGCGGAGCCAAGCTCCACCGCTCCGCGTGCCACCCCCAACCCCGCAACCTGCGGATCCTCCGCCCCGCCACTGCACCCTCCGTGCGCTCCCTCGTCGGTTATTGATTCCCCCGGGTAGCTACCCCCCATGGGGTGCTAAAGTGGGATGAGTGGGACGCGGTGGGTAGAGATGAAGTGGCGCGCTCCGGATAGGGTAGGAAACAACGGGACGTCTTGAAATTGCAACAACCAGTCGTGGTGATTACTTTTTTGAGCACCTGCTCTCTTTCCCTCCCCGTCAAGCGGCGGCCCACGGCAATCCTCTTTTTCACGAGAGGACAAACGTTTCGCGTGTAATAAGTAGGAGAGCGATACTGGGTCTTAATCTCTCATAGCTCTCGGATTATTCGCTGGTTTCCGCTCGTGTGTGTGCGTTTTTTTTTCTTCTATCGATTCCGAATTTGTTTATACCTTTCCTATAACACGATTATGGGAAAAAGGTTTCTCATTTGTGGATGCGAATAGCTCGTAGGACAATGAACAGGAGGAATTCGCCTAACGTCCACAGTAAGCTGGAAAAGAAGAGCAATCGAGTGACATGCTATGCATGGTATAAGGGCGATGTTGAATCCTTGAAACGACCTAGATCTTTCCTCCTAGTCTCCTCCTCCCTTTCTGGACCAGGGCCAGCAACGATAAAGCTATACGATGCTATATTACAAGCGGTACAGGAAAAAAAGAACGACACAATAGATCTGTATTCGAACTATTAAATGCTCTTTGAGCGACTGATATTGTTTTAAAAAAGATTTTATCGGAGAGATTCAAAAATATTTATAACAATATTAACGTGTTACAATAAAAGTTTTTATATCATTGAAAGAAGTTTATACATATTATATTACATATTAATGCTATTATCTAGATGTTTTCGACACAGTGTTCGATCTTCTAATTAATTAGTTTCTACCGCTGCTTGGCCGACTTCCGAACGGATGAGGGTAGGTCGAGAACGCGGAGGGAGAGAGGGAGAATGAGGAGAGAGAAGGGAAGACTGCTTTGGAAGAGATGGAAGGAAAGCAGTAAAGAAGAGTACGTTCAAAGAGAATCGCGCGTCGGTGGGCGGACGAGCGGGGAGGAGGGGAGGGGAGGGGTGGAAGTGGGAAGTTGGTGGAAAAAGGGGGTAAGGCGGTTAGTGGAGAGGAAGGTCCTGACGTGGCGAAGACTGCGGTAGGCGTGGGGGGGGAAGGGTATCGCGAGCGGAAGAGAACAACGTGAAGAAAGAAAGAAAGAAAGAGAAGGACGGAACGCGAGGGAGAGTGGACGAGGGGAGAGGCGGCAAATATGTAGAAGGGCGGAGACAGACGCAGAAGAGATATATACCTAATACGAAGAGGAGCGCGGGCAAGATGGAGGAGACGGGGTAGGTAGGTAGGTAGGTAGGTAGGTAGATGGGTAGGTAGGTAGGTAGGTAGGTAGTTACGGCGAGAGGGAGCGAGGGTGAGTCGGGCGGGGGAGAGGCGGTTGTCGGTGGTGGCTGAGGTGAAGGCAGGGTGTGGAAGAGGCGCGATGGATATACGAACGACGGAAGAATATTGCCTGCAGCTTTATGGCTCTTAGAGGACACGGACTTTTACGATTATTAATCCCTCCGTTTTCCCATAGATCCATTCACCGCTGTATTCTACCCCGAAGTGACGTTCAACAGATTATCCCTGACACACGATCCTCTCGCTAGGCTCGACTCCCGATCACGAAGGGTATCTAGACTGGAACTCAGGCAAAAGATTCCAGCCTTTTGTATGTTTCGATTGTTCGGATCCAAAAAAATGAGCCTCGAGTTCGGACGGTTTGAACGTAAACAGTTATTGATCTGTTAATGTAAGTGTATAATATCTGAAGATTCGGACAGTTCGGAAAATTCAGACATTTTTAATAAGTTCAAATAAGTTTTGGCACGAGAAATCACTTCTATCCTGATTACACAATTGACTTTGGATACACCCTGTTTGGATAGCAAATTGCACAACACAAGATTTATGTTCAAACTGTAATAATTTTCGAGCTTACGGACTTGAAGTTAATTCGAACAGTTCAAACTGTCCGAAGTGTGTTGAACTCAATGAACTCACTTTTTTTGGACTCGAATAGTTCGTTCTGTTCGAACATATTTTCAGTTGCAAGAGTCCAAACGTTCTTGTTTAATAGAATTTAATTTGACGTCTGAACTTGAAATTCGAACTGTCCGAAAGGTGATCGATCACCTGAAATTTCTGAGCATTAATCTAGACTGATCGACGTTACGTTTTTTTTCTCGAATTTCATCTTTCCACAACAGATTTGAACTATATATACCTTAATTAGTTAAATGTGTTTTTCGATTCGAGTAGAAATCCGAACGTTTACAATTAGTGGCGTATCATCTAGTGATCGATGGAGATAGAGAAGAAGTTTATAACTTGCGTGAATTTTTGTTAATAATGATGATATATCGTTACATTGTTAATGGCGGTCTGTATCGCCAGAGTATCGCGATTTATGGCGACAGGTAATTTTAAGATCGAACTTAATCGGCACTTCGCGTGCGCGTAAATGACAAAAGAAGTATAATCGCGCTGGAAGATCGAAAGATGATACAAGAAGCACGCGAATTGCAAACTAAGCACGACCGGCACGGAGACAATGATCACGAAAACAGCACGAGTCATCAATTCAATTTGCAATTATACACTTTACGAAAATTTGCTCGTGCAGTATCATTGTGTAATTATTAATATAAATTATTATGTTATAAATTATTGGTGTAGAATTATTTTGCAAAATCAATAATGATTGCACAAACGTGAATTATTGTCATCTATGACGACGTATACATATAATTTGCCGATCGCGAGACGTCGGTTTTCACCCATTCTCTTCTTTCCATTATAGCATTATAGTGCCTCGTCATTTTGCTCGATTTGAAGTGGTCAGAAGTCTTTAGTAAGACCGGTTTGATTTATGATTGAAGGGCATTAAAGTTGCAGTTTGAACACGTAATGCAACTGTATACCTCTTTAAACACGGGGTTCCTCTAATTGGGATCTGATTGGAATATGTGATTTAGCTCCTTTAAAAACACCGTTCAACAGTGCGCGAGGACTGTAGTTACGCCAACACACGAGCGGCGTGCCGCTGCTTCAACCATTCTTCTATTTATAACTAATGAATTTTTAAGAAACAGTGGAATGGAAATAAAACACTAAAGGCTAAAGTCATTTGTAATGTACAGACTACACTTACGTTTGTTCTTACAAAGACGAATTCCTGCATGAGAAATGACTCGAGACGTACCAGGACTTTCCGATAATCACGGAGGACGCTTTGTTGCAACGAGATGAACAGCAGCGTGATATACGGATTCTTTTTTTTTTCAAGTGGTCTGGTTTATGTCTTCCATTCTGCTTCCCGTATCCCTTGACTTCTCAACCTCCTACCGGCGTAGCAGTAGATGCATTACTCCGTTCGCCGGCTCATAAAACGCGCCGTAAAACTGAAGAAATTAAAAGTTTGAAATGTGCGCGTATCCGAAACGAGTGTTCGACTGATGTAACACTCGACTTGGCTCGATTTGCCTTGGCTCAACCTGCACACAAAGTTACGTTGAAGAAATTTTTCTACGAATTTAGACATAAAATTCTTGTCAGACTAAAAATTTAGAATTTAAT